TTCAGAGTCTGATATTACCGATGAGAACTTTTTGAGATCAGTTTCAGAAGGGACGCTTCAGACAGACTCTGCATCGCTGCCGCGAGAAACCGCAATTGTCAACGAACAGCAGCGTGCAAATCATCCTCAACATTGGAATCCTGTTACTGATGGAAGTATTGACATAGGAAAAGGGGACGTCATAGAAGAAGGGAAAGGTGTTCCAACACCGTATAGTCCTTCATCTTATCTGGAGTCATCAGGAGAAAACGCATTAAATGCTGGTCGAACAGACACCGATGATACTGGCACATATTCTAATCAAATGAAGACTGGTGCATTGACGACATCTACTTCGAAATATATTGATCTTCGTCCAAGCAAACCACATCGAGATGATAAAAGTTCGTCGAATAGCAATTCTATTTTATCGGGTGGGTATTCTGAACAATTGCTTTCCGCTGTTCTAGGTTAACGACCAATGTCAAAACTACATGCGAATTGACATCGCAGTGATTTAAACGATCTTCAAAAAGTGCTTGCAACTGAGGAGCACAATCGACTTATTAGGTATATTGCAAAGTACTGCGTTAGAAAGGAACTTTGAGGTTCAATGTAATTATTGCAGTAGAGACGGAAGCATCATTTGTCGAGTTGCATTGCGCCACGATCAGCGAGAATAATTCGAACAGATCTTCTATAATAACACATTCGAAATCATTTTAAGCACCGTATTTTCAGGTACTGTTTATCCGTGCAAAGTTGATTTGATAATTGCAATCGATTATCAGCCGAATATCAATGCTAATCGCGATCAGGTCAATATTGATTCCTAAATTCATTTTCACTGTTGTTTAGAACAGTCGAAGACTGGAATTCCAAAAGTGTTTAAACAAAATGCTATATTTAAGCTATAAAATATAAAATATCAGAAGTTCAATGGAATCGGTTATAGAAACTTTTGAAAGAGTTTTTTTTTAAAATCTGAACAAGAAAGCACATCTGAAGATGTGATGTGTGGACAGTTGATGTCGTTCGAAAAAGAATTTACATTTAAAACATCACAACTGCTGGATTTTAGACTGCAAAATTGGTTGCTAGAATGATCAAGAATTGGACGATATCAGTGAATAAAACTCGAATTGCAATCGTCTCCTATGGACTTGATGATGGTGTTGGGATTTATACCGGNGCGCAAGCGCAGGATGAACTCCTATATTCACTTGAGTCTGGTGGCTATACTTTTGGCGTTATCTACACTTTAAGTCGGTAACGTACATATATCATTTGATATCGCAAGGCATAAAAAGTGCATGGCTATAGAATGCTGGAGTATGATATCGCTTTTTGATTGTAACATCTTTTCGAACGTGACTTTTTGCAAATGATCCTTTTGAATCGAGCAAGTACTTATGTTC